TTGCTATTGGGTAGGAATTTAGAAATTCTGAATTTGTAGTCAACTGCAGACTACATAATAGAATGTATGTAGCCTAATTTTCTGATAGTGGAAGTAACCTGTTAGGTAGATGACTATATTCCATCACCTATACCCACAAGTATTTGAGGATGCAAAATTACAGGTCATTTTTGAAAATATGACTCAAATTCTAACATGGGAGCTCCAAACCTAATGCTAAAAATGTGTATCTACTACCAAGTCTACAATTCTATTCTTTATAAAATGCTTAATACCATGCTCCATTACTGGAAAATCTAAAACAGAATGACAGGACAGCAATAAAGACAAGGAAGAAGTAGGAGAATAAGAAAATAGGTGACTGGACAGCACATATCCATCTGTATCATACATAGTGATGGTCATAAACACATAATACAAACAAAAAACAGTTGTGAAGGCTTATAAGATATCTAATAGAGAGAGTTATCTAGCCCCTATCAGCGTAACACAAAGTTATAAAAATCTATATGTAAAATCCAAGAAGAGATATTTATCGAGCTGGTGTGTTTTACAATTAATTTTGGTACCCATATACTTGTCTTATTAATGGCTCCATTAACCACTTTCCTTACATACATACTGTTAACTTGCTGCATGCCTGCATCATACTGTGTACAATACTTTCTGAAGACAGCTTAATTGGTGAAGATTTTGCAAAAAAGGTCCCATTTTAAAGCCTGTTTGTTCCATAGATACAGAGAAATTATTCTACCACCAAATGTTATTAGGAATTACCACACTCATTAGGTTATCACCACCATGTACACACTTATGTTAGGTACAGCCATCAAATCTTTCTTAAAAATGGACATTCTACAAAGGCTGCAAGCATCAAGTCAAAAACTTTTAATTAAATAGAATTTTAAAATTGTAACTGGGCTATGAAAATGTCTGCATATCTATTCTGGATCAGAGCTTAATCTTGTTGCTACAATATGTCTTCACTCATCCCATTCTCTCATTGTTTAGTTTTTTTCCTATACATGCTCATCACAGGAGGTCCCTAAAATTAGAATTCAAGCAAGGGATAATGAATTCCTGTTTTGTAAAGTGCCTGAACAAACAGTAACTACCACCACCACCCCTCCCCTACTACTAATAATACGTAAAGTGGCCTGGGTGAGGAATGATGGAGGGCTGGGAGTCCACTACGTCCTTGGTTCTAATCCTGGTTATGTCACTTACTTGCCATGCTGCCTTGGACAAGTCACTTCAAGATCTGATATGGTAAAGTAGTTCAGCACATGCTTAATTTTAAGCATGTGAACCACTGTACTCAAGTCAATGCAATGCTTAAAGTTAGGTGGGTGTTTAAGTAACTTGTAGGATTGGGGCCTCAGACTCTTCATACATAAAATGAGGATAATTATTCTTACCTCCATCTATTTCAGTATCACCAGTGGGAAGCACAGGAGAGGAGGGATAACAACTGAATGCCTCTACAGAGATTCGACCATACAAAGTGCTATATAAAAGCTAATAAAACATTAACACAGCATGTTCAAAACAGCTACAAGAAGCTAAAATGTTCCATATCTGCCCTCTCTCCACCAAAAATCTTTTACAGTGGGCAACCTTGCAGCTGTTTTAGCGCATTGGTAGTGACACATTGTGGGCACCCTCAGTAAATTAGCTCAGAAGTATACATACAAAATTAAAGAGTCCTTAACTCCACCTGCCATCAAGTACAGAAATTAAAATAGAACACAGTATATTTTAAATACAGGACCTTTCAAAAATGGTTGATTTTCCCTTACCTATTAAATATGGCTTCACAAAAGATTTTTTGTTCTTCAGCCAAAAAGTAAGACAGTGACAAAGACACAAAATAATTACATAAGATATTCCTCATTACACACACAGATTTTCTCAGAGCACTAATGGGAATTACTCAGGCATGCTCCTATAAGAATAAAACTCTACCTTTTAAATCGGCTATTTTCCCCCCTCCCATAATCATCGTTACATAAGGCCAAGCACTGACATATGGTACCATAAGACCTTTTCATTTTCAAGAAACTGTAATTTTGTTTCTACAGAATCACTGCATCATTTTGTAAAGACTAAATTGAATCTGGTGTTTCCCACAGCTGTAAATCTCAGATTAAATCATATTTAATCTTGGTAAGTGTTTCCTCGAAGATGTCTGAAATCAGTGAATCAATTGGCCATTGATCAGGATTTGTATTACCTGCCATAAATTTATCTTTTGGCCCAAGGTTGCCTCTTCTTTTATTGAAGAAAATGGCATAATTCTCACGGAGTTCAATGAGAATAGGAGCTGCTGTCCTAGTCTGAAAAACACTTCACTTTTTAATGTATAGGCAATTCTATGCCACTCAACATACTGAACATTTAAACAGGTTTCAGAGTAGCAGCTGTGTTAGTCTGTATTCGCAAAAAGAAATACTTGTGTACTTGTGGCACCTTAGAGACTAACAAATTTATCTGAGCATAAGCTTTCATGAGCTACAGCTCACTTCATCGGATGCGTTCTGACATTATAGGAGAAGGCCACAGTATGTAATAACCAGCTCATCCAGTACAGATATGCACAAGAAGTGGAGGAGTTGTATCACTGTATAATTCCACAGGTTCCATCTCTCAAGAGTTCCCTGAGAAATGAGACGGGATGGAATCCCAAAAGTTTTTAGGGTATATGTCATGAAAAATAAACTGCAGCTAATCACAAACAAGAAAATTAAACTTTTATTTTTTGCATGCAAAATTGCAGAAATTTAATCTCTGATACAGGGAATATGAAGAGAATAGAATGGATTTCTCCTTAATACCCTCTCTAAGATCAACATGGGTACACAAAGTATATTAGCTTAATTGTTAAGAATAAAAATAACCTCTCTATTTAGAATTTAAACCAAGAGCAATTCATTCGGTACTTCTACTCACAGAATGTCCATTTGGTCTATCTTTCCTCACTTCTTTTGCATGTACACCACTTACCACGAAAAATGGCGTATACTGTAGACTAGCATATGTAGTGTCCACACCCGCGTAGCCACCCTAGCAGAGGTATAAATAGCAGTGTAGCCAGTGGGGAGCGGCTTAGGCAAGTGAAGACGCTGGAAAGGTGTGGGTATGTATGTCCTAGCTCAAGCAGTGTCTTCCTATCAACACTGTTATTTTTAGCAGTGTAGTGTGCTGCTGCCTCCCCACTGATGGAGCCTTTCTCCACCGCAGAGGAAGGCTCTGGCACTGGGGAGATGATGGAGAAAGACTCGGGCAGCTCCCCGCTGCTGGAGCCCTGCCTCACCACAGGGAAACACTCTTGCACTGGGAAAAGGCTCTGACACGCGTAGCAACACACCGTAGCGTGGACTCAGCCTGCTTTTCACTGCAGCATGTAGCTACACATATATTACATGCCATCAGAAGTGGCGTGTAGTGTAGTCATAGCCTTAGACACTTACTGATGAGATGGGATCTCAGGGAACTATGGTTCTTAGAAGAGAAAACCCAGGGACTGGAACATGGCAGAGATAAGGAACTTCAGGAAATAGATTTAACTAATTAAAAATTTTTCTTTAAAAATTAGAATAATTTCTGTAGTGGCCAGTTTACAGTTGGGGATAAAGTAATGTATTGATTAGTACAGTGGAAGATAGGAGATGCCTCAAATACACACAGTATGTGGAACTACCACTAGAGGGAGCACAGAGACTTGTTTCATACACAGAAGACATTTAGGAACTGCATATTTCTTTTCCATTTTTTGTTTTGTTTTGTTTATTTAGCCATTGTGTTTTACCCTCAGGTACACAATGGAGCTTTTTCCAGGAGTAACCGTCCAAATTAACAATTGTCAGTCAAGTTACATATTTAGTGTTTTTCTTCCATGCTGTATTTATGATTTGGAACATCTTCTCACACTAGTCCATAAAGTCACTACTCCCTATCTTTTAAATCCCTCCCTAAGGCCTGGTCTACACTGGGGAGGGGGGGGGGGGGGCAGGGAATCGATCTAAGTTACGCAACTTCAGTCAATGTACTTAGACCTATTCACCGTGGTGTCTTCACTACGGTCAGTCGACTGCTGCCGCTGCCCCGTTGACTCTACCTGCGCCTCTCACAGCACTGGAGTAGAGGAGTCAACGGGAGAGCTCTTGGGGGTTCATAGAATCATAGAATCTCAGGGTTGGAAGGGACCTCAGGAGGTCATTTAGTCCAACCCCCCTGCTCAAAGCAGGACCAATCCCCAATTAAATCATCCCAGCCAGGGCTTTGTCAAGCCTGACCTTAAAAGCTTCTAAGGAAGGAGATTCTACCTCCTCCCTAGGTAACGTTGTTCTATTGTGTCCAGACTAGATGCTATAAATCGACCCCCGCTGGATCGATTGCTGCCCGCCAATCGGACAGGTAGTATAGACATACCGCTAAGACTCAATTCTATTCTGATGGCTAGGTGAAATTGCCAACTGATAACTGTTATGTGGATGCCATGAGAGAATTTTAATACCGATCTTATGCATTTTATTTATCTCATCAGATTTCATATTCTACTCTCCCCTAATTTTTAAAACTGTGTTTAGTTATATCTTTATTATATATGTCTATTAAGTCGGAGTAATAACATAAAAGATTTCCCACAGTCACACAACTTCAGTCTGTTATATAGTATACCTGCATGAAGACATTTCTTAAGTAGATATAAATATGATCTGCATAAACAACAAATGTATTCATGATATTATGCTTTTAATGTATTGTTTCTTTCCAACCAGGAAGGGACTGAACCCAGCAACTGGAGTACAGAAGGCTGTATGTGTGTGCACAGTGCTGAGCAATTCCCAACTGGGACTCTAGGTGCTACCAAAATAAAAGATCCCAACCAGGATTAAATCCTCTGAACTATATAGCAGGCACTGGTTGTTAATCTGGAGAACACTTTGGTTACAGTATGCTATGAGATACAGAGTAGGAAAAAAAAAATCCATCTTTACCATCTTGGAAGACCCTTTCCACATTCAGCCCGTAAGTAGCACAGGTTTCATAATAAGTGCATCTCTTCAAATCATTCGACAGCTTTCTTGCTCTGGCATCATCAATAACACGTGGATTATTAGAGTTTATAGCATCTATAATAACAGCATGCAGAGGGGGGAAAAAAGCAACAGCATTAGCAGTTTTATCCTGATAACAAATCCTGTATTCAACAGCAGCAGTTTATATTTAGAAAACACCCTATGCCTACAGAGCCTAAAAGGTGCTTAAATGTAATCCTAAAAACAAACCCACACAAAAAACTTCATAAAGAGACTAAAGGTTGCACAGATAAGCAAAAAAGCCAGGTACTGTCAATTTAAGATTACATAACAGTAACTTTCCCTTTTTGCATATAAATACACATCCAACACAAACTGCTTTTTATATAAATTCTCTACCTTTTAAGACATGTAAATTTCATAATTTTTCCTCTGCACCCATATACTATACATTTAAAGGGACGTTTCCTCTAGTAATATTCCACAATAAAATGATTGTTCAGAGGTGCATCTTGGACTCTTCTCAGGAAACACAAGGAAGTAAGAGTCCTATTATGAGCATTACTTTTTTCAGTGATTTCTACTATATTGTACTTCTAATTGTGACCTAACAAGCTGTCTTAATAAAGTCAAGTATTACTTCACCAGAGAACTGGCTATACTTTAAAATACCATTTAACTCTGTAATGAGTGAAAATTTTGTTTCCAAAGTTCATAGTTCTAACTACTGATCTTCCAGTCACTGATACAATTCTAACTAGAAAATAAATTGAAACTTTCCCCCCTAAGTTACCATAAAAATGCATATAAGGCTACCAGGTGGAATATATTTAGAGTAAGATATATTAACAAAATACAATCAATATTGCTGTAGTCCTTTAAGGAAGCAAATTACTTTTAGATCCCTTATTAACGCCAGCACATTGACTAATAATATGCTAAGTATGATGTAAAAATGACTTTCATGGACAGTCTGATATACGGAGTAGTAGGATATAGGGACGGGGAAGTGATGATACACCTACTACCGTAATGCATAAGCACACTTCTTCACTTGAGTGTTTAACCACCAATATTAATGGCCTCTTCATGTAGTATTGTTGGATAGTGTTGTCTGTTTATTTTTAAGAAATAAAAAGATGGAAAAAATAAAAATTAAGGCTTGGCTAAGGGCCAAAGGCAACAGAACTCTTCCGGGTTCCAAAATGTATAATGTAAATTCCATAATTCAACTCTCTCACCACAGTCCTTGCAGACATTACAAGGGTCACAGGAGTTCTTCCCTCTGTATAGATTCTGCAATAACCTTGGTTCACCCCTACACATCCCACAAACTATGCATTAAGTTTAGTTTACATTTAGCTTACCTGAGTATATATCCCTAGCCAGCCTGCCTAGGTATAAGTGGCAGTTAGGAGACCTCACTCGCACACTTCACACGTCGGCCAGTTCCCTTTTCTTGACCACTACACATACAATATACAGCAGCCCTTCTTACAATCACTGCAACTTGAAATAGTCCTCGGAAGCCTTTGCACAGGTCTGGGCATAGGTGAATGGCCCCGTTTACTACAAAATTAAAAGAACGAGGAGTACCTGTGGCACCTTAGAGACTAACAAATGTATTTGAACATAAGCTTTCGTGGGCTAAAATGCACTTCATCGGTTGCATGCAGTGGAAAATAGAGAAGGAAGATATATATATACACACACACAGAACATGAAAACATGGGTGTTGCCATACACACTATAACGAGAGTGATCAGTTAAGGTGAGCTATTATCGGCAGGAGAAAAACAATACAAAACCTTTTGTAGTGATAATCAGGATGGCCCATTTCCAACAGTTGACAAGAAGGTGTGAGTAACAGTAGGGGGAGGAAAAATAAGGGGAAATAGTTTTCTTTTGTGTAATGACCCATCCACTCCCAGTCTTTATACAAGCCTAATTTAATGGTGTCCAGTTTGCACATTAATTCCAATTCAGCAGTTTCTCGTTGAAGTCTGGTTTTGAAGGTTTTTTGTTGTAGTATTGCGACTTTTAGGTCTGTAATCGAGTGACCAGAGAGAGTGAAGTTGCTCCTTCTGATAAGAGCTCACCTTAACTGATCACTCTCGTTATAGTGGATATGGCAACACCCATTTTTTCATGTTCTCTGTGTGTGTGTATATATATACACACACACACATATATATCTTCCTTCTGTATTTTCCACTGCATGATCCGATGAAGTGGGTTTTAGCCCACGAAAGCTCATGCTCAAATAAATGTGTTAGTCTCTAAGGTGCCACAAGTACTCCTCGTTCTTTTTGCTGATATAGACTAGCACGGCTACCACTCTGAAACCTGCAAAATTAAAGTGGCTATGCATACATGCACTGCCCATCTTTCCTTAGGTTTACACTTAGGGCCTGATCCAAAGCCCATTCAAGTCAATGGATTTGGATTACACCGTTAATGAGCAAACACACCTTCTGAACATGCTCAAAATGCCATTTTAAAGGCCAAAGAAATCAAACCCATTTTCTGATGCAATAAGGCATGCAGTACTCCTCAGTGAGGACTATTCTCCATACAAATCTCAATACTAAAATGTCAGGCATTTTAGCTGTAGGGCTGATCTGAACAGGTTGCAAGAATTATTTTATGCTAGGAAGAAGATTATTAGTTTCCCTCTCTTTGTGTTCAAAAAAACTGAACCATTTTTGCTCTAACACGTATGGGCAGCGATCATTTCTGGAAAATTTCATCCACAGAAGATCAAAATGTCAGTAATGAGCAACTGAAAACTGTTATGTAACCTTCAAGATAGTGGGTTGCAATCAATGTCCTATTGTAACATAGTATATGCCTAACTGATTACATTTCCAGAAGGAAATGTTAACTGAAGTAGTTGATGGTATCTGAGGAAACATCTAAGAATTCAAGAGTAATCACATTAAAATCTTTGGAGTAAAGAAACGGAAGTCATGGAGAAATGAATTTCACACCTTAGGACCCAACACATGACACTGACTTAAAACAGGATAGTGGTATTCCTAAATGGCAGCTGATTGTAGATACCCATTGATGCTCCCACAGGACCAAGAAAGAAATAGACTTTATCAACACCCTTGAATATAAACAATTAACATAATTAGAAAAAGTCATTAAGAGGATCAACACTTGATTGCTCATAGCCATCGTAATATACAAACTATTACTGATGTTAATCTTTCAGCTTCAAGGATCGGAAACCACAGTGCTGCTATAGTATGATCCTCATAATAAACCATCACCTATGTGTCAAGATTTCCCAATATTCTGAAGCGATATGATTGTACTCACATTGTCACCTTGTTCAGCTCTCAGAACTCTGAGAAATGCCAACTGACTAGGAAAGTGGTTAGTTTAGTCCTGAAAAAAACTCCACTACAACAGAGTGTTTTACATTGCAGTTCTCACCTGTACCACTTACAAACTGACATTGTGTGAAACTACACAGATTTTAAATATCACCTCTTCCTCACGAGCTATATGGCCCCAATTCAGGAAAGCGCACATGCTTAAGTCCCATTAATTTAATTGACTATTCACATTCTTAAAAGTTAAGTATATATTTAAGTGTTTTGCTAAATGAATGTCTATATTACCTTTATATTCATATGAAAAAAGAATCCAGCACATTCTGGATATAATCAGCTGCTATTTAGGAATACATATAAATAAAACCTATATTTTTATACATACATTTGTGAATTCTGCATACTAAGCTATCACCTTCATGATGATCCTCATTCATTTCACAGTGGGGAGATGTAGTTATTCCACACAGGAAATGAGAAGATCTGAAGAGAGGATTTAGTGAGTGCAGAAAATTGAAAGGAATAAAGTAAAGGGTTTTTTAAAGAGTTTATTCATGGAACAATTGACAGAGCAACGAGACCCAATCATAATGTATGTATTGTTTGAAACTACAGTTTACTTTAATACGGTTTTTAGCATTAGCGTACCCACCAGTCAGGGTATTATAAGGACTAATTAATATTGTAAAATACTTCAAAGATGTATAGCACTAAAACCCATTACAAATCAGACCGACACACACAATGATAAAATTTTCCTATTTCCCATGGCAGCTTATAGTAACAATGCAAAGAACTACAGCATCACAAACGTGATCAGAAAATGTACCTAAGATTCAGCTACAATTTATTTAGTAGAAACCAATGAGGTTCCCATAAGATAAAATCTCATATGGACTTGAATATAAATTGCCATTACTGTGAATCAATACTACACTTGGCATTCCTGTCTGAAGTATCAGAGTAGTAGCCGTGTTAGTCTGTATCCACAAAAAGAAAAGGAGGACTTGTGGCACCTTAGAGGCTAACAAATTTATTTGAGCATAAGCTTTCGAGAGCTGTAGCTTATGCTCAAATAAATTTGTTAGTCTCTAAGGTGCCACAAGTCCTCCTTTTCTTTTTGTCTGAAGTATATTACTTAGGTTAAAGTTTCAAAAATTTTAAATCTTATCTGTGATGTAAGGTACCAACTGAAGCATATTGGTTTTTATACAGCTATCTATTACGTGACAGCTAAAAGGTAAAAACAAACATGTCTGCTTGGAAGCAAGTCTAAGGATTTTTCTTTGTAAAACCAGCAGAGGGTGCTGAAGGCATGTGGACAATAAATGCATCTAAAATTAGCAGCATCACTTAAATATCTTTTTTTTTGGTTTCAAATGATATTTTGTTGTCAAAATCTGGACCTCAATTTCACCTGGAGATGGGGGAGAAAATATTTCCCTCTATTTTTCACCTCCATATTCACAATGGGGAGAGGATTCACCTTTGGTTGCAGGAGCAGCGGGGGGCAGACACTAGCATTTTAGGGAGATCATTCAGAGATCATTTCACAACCAGTCTAATAGCTATGATTAGTGGATCAGTAGCAGAAACCAGTCAGATATAATCGCCACCATAACATTAAAAAGGACAGTGTCACCTTGATGTGTAGCTAAGAATGATGCCTTGTATTACCCTTGGTTCCTGCCTCTCTATCTCCCAGCCCTGCTATCATTAAAATTCTCCCCTTCTCTTCTGTGGCGCTCTGGGAAAAAGACCTATACAAAACTTCCAACACTGACCACATCACTGTAAGGGAAAACACTGAAAATGGCACACAAAGCAAAGAAATCCTGAACAAATATCTTTCCCCTCCAACCTTTCTCTTACAGTAGCTATCTTAGGTGTTAACACATTGTGAAATTTTTAAGTTGACAGTGTCCCTTTAAGCAATTCACTTCCCTTTTTGACTGCAGCTTCTTCTGTTCACCCTAGGATTTTTTTGTATCATCTACTTCTCCCTTTTATCTGTCACCTGCTTCTGCCTCATTACTATTCTTTCCCCTCTATGTTCCCCCTACTTCCCAGGCTTCACAATGAGCAGCTTTGGTTTCAGAGTTTGCAATCAGGCATTGGGCGGTCAAGCCACTCCCTGTCCCCAGGCATTGTCTTAACTGGCAAAAAGACAAAGTGAGGAAGCAATGAAGCCCTAGATCAGCATTAAACCATCCCCAACTTTTCACATTGCTGCAGGCTAGAGGGGAAGGGGAGTCTGAAACCACAGCTGAAAACACTGAGGAGGAGGGAGAGGGGGAATAAGTAGCTACTTTTCATGAGAGGATCTGAAATTGCACCCACCTTCAGAGCTCGCCTGTCCTGTGATAGCCTAAGGCTATTGCTGTTCTAGCACTGTTGCTGCAGGATAGCTTTTTCCTAAATGGGGTGAAGTATTATTGTGGGGTTTCTTTTTAAGTGACACAAAATGCAAGTGACTGTGCAGCAAATCTAAAATAATGAGGATTGAGGTCTGGCCTGCAAATGGCAACCTTCATTTTTTATAAATATTTATAGCAGAATGATTGACAAGTGTTATTGTCTCCTGTTTTGTTTGTGATTTAAGGGCAATAAACGACTGGTCTATTCTGGATCTTTAAGCAATTTGAGTCCCATCTTAATTTAGGTCATGATCCTGCAAACACTTATGCATGTACTCAACTCAGAGCATGAAAACAGTCTCGTTGATGGAACAACAAGCAGACATTATTGGTCAGAGTTACGAACACTTTAAACTACCCCCGAGGTTCAGGACAGCCATTTTCTGCTAACATCTGGAATGTACTGCATTTTCAGTTATGCCCCAAAAAGGTTGGTATGAAAGGAAATAGATCAAGTTAAGTATGTTTGTCTTTAAAAAAAAGTTCCAATACAAAACTGTCACTTTAAAGACACTTTCAGACAGGTAATCAGCCAAAGATAACAGAATATGAAGACAGCAACTAGAATACCGGTATCTTCTTAGAGATGTTATAACCAAGACTGCACTTACCTTGGGTTCCCACTAGTACCATTGGGATTTCACTAGTGTTACGATAGTTAGCCATACGACTGTAGTAGTGGTAAACTGTCTGGAAGCTTATTTCATCTTCTAAGCTGAAGACAAATATAACAGCATCGACCCACATGGCAAACTACAGAGGAAAAAAAAGGAGGAGGGGAGAGAGATTCAGTGGGAAAGCAGTGAGCAGCAGTCAATAAAATTAGCGGGATTATCCTGTGCTGAAGGGAGGGGAGAAAGAATGCTGCATTCGGGAAATATAACCATTAACACTATTAACTCAACTTGCTTTTTAATTTTACAGGGAGTTTGGGGCATATGAAGGTAAGGGTTTAATACACGTATTATAATATTGGCTTGAATCAGGCAGAATCTGGGGGACAAAATGTATGCTATTAATTCTAGGTATATTTTAAGTAGTAACCGGTTTTTGTTACATAGAAAAATTGGGAATGAAATGAGCTTGCCTTTGCACTTGTGAACAACAGGAATATTTTAAAACAGGTATCTAGAAATGAAAGGTTAGTTCAAAAACCTATTACGTTACTTTCCGTTCATCCCTTAATATATGTATTTTGATTTCTTAACTAGCATCAGCATTGACATTCAAACCACAACACTACATTCAAGGGTTTACAACTTTACCCACTAAATTTCAGATCTGAGCAAAATCTCAAATATTGCTTGCATTTCTTTTATATTCTAAAACTCAAATTTTAAGATATCTGAATTTGCAAATGCCATAATTATAGAAGTTTAAGGAAAATGATTATGCCTTAGGTTTTGTAGTGGGAAAGGGAACTGGTTTTCCCTGGTGTCATAAATCCACTGAAGGAGAGGCACTTCTGTGCCCAGGTAAGGCTTAAAACAACCATATCTGTAGGGAAAATTTCAGATCACAAGTACTAGTTAGAAATATTAAAAGAAACTAACATGGCAGCAATTCATCTTGGTTATAGAGTGCCAGAGAATTTCTTAAGCTAATAAATAGCATGTGTTATAATTGTGTCCATTCCAAGACTAAAGTTTCCATCAATAATACAAAGCTAACCAGCTGCAACCTAAAATAAGACACATTATCTCTTCATATTTATTAGTCATATTACTATCATACATACAGAACCAATCTAGCCAGGGCCCCACTGTACAAATACATAGCAAAAGGTAGATGCTGCTGCAAAGAGAAGACTAGGCAAATAAATAACATCACCTACTTCTTATCTAGCACTTTTCATCAGTAGATCTCAAAGCTCTTTACAAAGCGGGTCAACATCACGATCACCATTTTACAGATGGGGAAATGGAGGCACAGAGGCGAGGTGACTCACCTAAGGTCATCAAGTGTCTGAGCGAGAATAGTACATGAGTTTCCTAATCTCCACTCCAATGCTCTATCCACTCGACAACACTGCCTCTATGCTCTCCATAATTAGCGTATTTTATGTTTAGATATATGTGTTATGCATTATTGTTCTCCTGGGTTTATGCCCATTGTTACTTCAGTATTTCTAAGTCTCACAATTTTAAGTTTGCAATGCTTCACATTTTTTAAAAGCATCAGTTCCTAGGATCATGTGATTATCCCTGTTTACACTGAAAATTTCCTAGCTTTTATGGTTGTGTGTGTGTGTGCGGGGGGGGGGGGGGGTTGAAAACATGAACCCTCAAGGCTCAACGCTCAGAAAGAAAATACGAATCCACAGGCTATTTTTGGGGTGTGTGTTTTATTTCTATTAAAAGAATTTATACACATTAAATGATCATGAACCATTTGAACACTTCAACACACCTGGATGTCTTTTCACTTAGGATCATAGAATCACAGAATATCAGGGTTGGAAGGGATCTCAGGAGGTCATCTAGTCCAACCCCCTGCTCAAAGCAGGACCAATCCCCAACTAAATCATCCCAGCCAGGGCTTTGTCAAGCCTGACCTTAAAAATATCTAAGGAAGGAGATTCCACCACCTCCCTAGGTAATGCATTCCAGTGCTTCACCACCCTCCTAGTGAAAAAGTTTTTCCTAATAAACCTCCCACACTGCAACTTGAGACCATTACTCCTTGTTCTGTCATCAGCTACCAATGAGAACAGTCTAGAGCCATCCTCTTTGGAACCCCCTTTCAGGTAGTTGAAAGCAGCTATCAAATCCCCCCACATTCTTCTCTTCCGCAGACTAAACAATCCCAGTTCCCTCAGCCTCTCCTCATAAGTCATGTGTTACAGTCCCCTAATCATTTTTGTTGCCCTCCGCTGGACTCTTTCCAATTTTTCCACATCCTTCAAGGTGTAAGAACAGCAAAAACTAATCTTTGCAGTTCTCAAGACAGATACTTAATAAGCCAACCCCCTACAATGTATTGCCAATGCTGTATTGTGCTAATACACAATATATGGCAGCAAATGTTCAACGCTGTCAATGTGTGCGAGCTGAACTGTTGTCAGAACTGGAAGCCTAATGAAAAGCATGAGAGAGGTACAAAAACTGTGGAGGAAGTCTAGCTGGTGGATTTTAATGTATAATTAATCTCATACCATGGAATCAACTGTATTCTGCCTAGAATTCTTGCTTGCAGCGCTGATATTCTTAAAGAATAATTTATGAGATGAATGGTTTCTGTAGAATGTATTAAAATTTATTGAAACCAGTGTACAATGATGGAAAGGTATTCCATCTATTAATGGTTATGAGATACACCAAAGGAGGCTATTTATAAAATAGCTCTCTTGGGTAACTTTTTTTTCTGTGTGTGTGTGTGTGTGTGTGTGTGTGTCTAAAGAGAGAGAAATAATTTACACACCATCTTAAGTAATTTAATGTTATGAAGGTGCCATGTTAACAGCCCCAGAAACTGAACTCTTTGAAAAACAGCACAGGCAATGGCAAATTCAAGCTTCCCTTTCATTTCCTCACTAATGTGCTTCAAATCCCACTGTGGCAGAGAACAGTTCTCTGGGCAGAGAGGACAGTACAATTTCATATGCATTCAGTGTCTTGAATGGCACCAAAGGCATCCATTTTTATTTTTTTAATTAAGGTGAACACTTGTTCAAATGAGGCCAAAAATCACACTAGTAACCTAGAAACTGTATCCCAGAGCAACTATCATGAGCCATCCAAATCCCTCCTAACTGTTGTGTTTTATCATAGGAGACTTGAACAGTTTTGTGGTAGGTCAGGAACAACTAAAATCATGGCTGGCGAGCTATGGAAATGGCGATTTATTCATTATTGGTATGCTTTAAAAAGGATGAGGATGACATTTCACTCGGATTTTATCCTCAAAAATGAGCTATTTTTAAAATTGTTTATGTATTAACTTGGCACAGAAAAAATGCAAAGCAAAAAACAGTAATTGTCCTTTACTACACCTTTATCATGGATTTTCATACTTTTGTTTAGTCTACAATATAAACCTTCATTTTTCAGGGCATAAGTCAAACTCCAAATCGAGGGGTTAGAAAAGAAAGTTCTCTGTAGGCAATTTAATCTATAATTGCCAGCTTCAGGGTTTTTCACCTTCATCTGAAGCTTCTTGTATTAGACAACTAATTGGGAACACCAATTCCCAAACTCCAAGTTCCCTTTTCTGCGAGAGGACTGGAATGGTGACATCACAATAAGCTGAAACATGAGCAGTAGTTGGCACTTAAGAAAGAAGAGAATGTCTAGGCACTTCTAAGATTCACTTCAACTGCGGTAGTGGCTTCCAACCTATTTACCATTCTGGGCTCCATATGCACCCCACATGGTGTTATGTGGGCCGCATCCAATACTACCCGTATGGCCCTGAGGATGTCACACGGGCTGCAGCTTGCCTGTGGGCCGGAGGTTAAGACCCACTGAACTGAGGACTGGGAAGGCTGCTGCACAGGTTTCTGCCTATTGTGAAGTCACATCCCTTTTATTCCTCCATTTAAAAAAATATTCCTAACAAAAACAAAATAGAAAAACCCTTTAAAACCCAAAACTTTATCAGGCCATCACTGTGAATCAAAGGAAAAGAGAAGGTTACAAACAATATTTTCCTTCAGATGTTCCACTTCCATCACAGAAATTATCAATATTAATTTGTCCAGAAATAGTATTTGGGTTTATTTTGTGAATTAGATATATGAGAAAATCACAAAAAATTAGATCTTCTCTGTAACAATATTACATGACCAAATTATAATTAAAACAACTTAAGAAGAGAGATTACTTCTGTAGACATATATTTTGTTCCTATAAAACACTGACTGGCAAACAGGAAGAAAATATACATTCTGATACGTATTATGACTTTTATGAAATGCTTTGTTGGACACAAATTCTGATAATTTCAATTTAATATTTGGTATTTATCTGTCAAATAATAGTTTTGTAGCAGCACTAGATACAATGAAAACACTGCTTTGGGTGCCATGTCCTAAATTCTGCATCTATAACCACTGTGGGTGTAGTTGTATTAAGTGAACATACTACAAGAAAACAATTTTTTGGTAGATTATAATACACACACACACACCTATATATATATATATATATATATATATATATATATATATAGCATGTGTATTATAATAAATTTTTATATACACATATAGGCTGTTGTAAACACGTTTCTCAGCCAAGTTATTCACACTGAGTGTTAAGTAGTCTGGCTCTCTCTCTTACCTCAACACAGGTAGGTTTACCTCACAAGATCCCAGTTGAATTAAGTAAGCCTGCCTTTTGTTTGTAATTTCCCTTAAGGGCTTCTCCTCTAAGTCTCCTTCATTCCTCTGCCTAACCTCTTGTCTTCTCCTTTGTCTAAACTTCTTCCACAATGCTTTAATCCTCCCATGGCTAATGGGCAATAGTGGGGCATTGAAACAGAAGATGCTGATGTTGCTTGCAACACTACATTCAGCTCTTTGGCAGCAGAGCAGCTCAGCAGCTCCTGCTGCTTATTCTTTGAAGCTGCTCCATCACGAACAGCTGAGGGCAGTGAGGCCAGTAGATTGTATTTAGCAACCCTGCTAATAACCAGGTAAGGGGAGGCAGAGGGTGATCCAGACACACAGCCCCAGACAAACAGACTGTAGCCAGAGTTTCACCATATGTACTAATGCCCATATGAGCATATGCTGACAAAAAATTTTAATGGTTTCAACTTGTATCATCCCAGAGTATGGGAACCAGAGAAAAATGACCATCTGTGTCCTCTTCAGAGTTATCAAAATCCTGTGTGCAGTAGAACAGCCTTCTACAGGACAAAAGAAGTTAAATAAACGTTCAGTAACCAAATAGGAAATGCATAAGATTACAATGGTGCCCTATTAAGGCCTGGAGAGCTATAGACAGCCTCACAAGGAAGAAGCAGTAGAGATGAGGCAGAATGAGGAAGAAGGACAAAGATTTAAAAGCAGACACTGCTAACACATTTCAGTGTGAGTACATCTGCTATGATAATATTATGAAAGGACTTCATCACATACTTCAATCAATTCCTTTTATATGAACGTTTAATAAAAATGTAATGTAGTGTAGTCACCTGGTCAGTGAATCAGCTTTGTAGCCCTGAATTGTGCATGATAAGTCCACATGTTCTATGTTCCTCCAGTTTATCAGAGTGAAATTTACAACTTAAACCATTTTGTAAGTACCAAAGAACCAATTTTCAACTGAGGATGTTTAGTATTGCCCCAGAGACCATCGCTATTGATTAATTATATGTAATTTTAAAATACAAAGATGACTTTACACATTCAAGCATATGGAAATTCTCCCCCAAAAAGGTAGATTTAAATGACATCTCCATTTTCATCAGGCTGTTGGAAAAGGTGGGGCAATGAGCCAGCTTTGCTTTCAGGTTAGGTGACCTGAGCAGATTGCGATATAGCTTGTTCACATCAGGAGTAATATATTCTGCTGCCTTCATAGGAGGGCAATCAGTGCATTCTGTTTTGAGTTACGTGTGCAAGTTTTAATCCATCACATTTATATTCTTAAAGACATTTAAAAACTTCCTATGAAAACATCAAGTTTTCTCAACCTACTGACTTAATTCTTTGCACTTTTTCTTATACCAAGTGAGATATAATTTTATTAAAGTTATTCATTTTCATGATCTATAGTCTAGCCTAATAAAACTCTAAATGCAATACTCACCTGTGCCTCTGGAGGGCCCCCTTCATCTCTAATCAGCAGCAGATAGCTTTGTCCATCAACTACTATCTCCTTCTTGAATCTCCCACCTGTCACACAAAGTAACTCATTACACAAAAGAAAAAGTAAAACACAACAAAGGCTTCACTTGTGGAAAATAATATTTCTAAGACTCTCGCTTAAGCATTATGTATTAATTACAAATGTAGCTCAAATCTATAAAGTTTCATGGATGCAAGACTTATTTAGGAAAGCTAACTCAATTACATATTTTAAGGAGTTATAAGTCTGATTGAGAAGCATATTTCAAGGGCTCTATTACACATGCTGCTTAAGAAAATAAGAGATTGTTAAAAATTTTGATAGCTAGTATATGAAGTAAAGTCATTTTGTCCACAATCCAGATGTGGTTTAAAATAGTAATTTTGGGAAATGCAAGTGTCAACAAAATGGTATTAATCTGAAGTTACATACAATACTGAATTTTCACATTACCTCACATGAGAACTAAAATAATTAAGCTACATACACCCTTTATTTTTCCTCAAGAGAAGCCCAGTTCTTAAAAGTCAACATTTAACATTATGAAAATGGTATTCTCTACTCACAAGTCACAATTAGGGAAAGGGTGCTGAAACACTACACGTTAGACAGAAGAACTACAACGATGGCACTTCCGTGAGATGTACTGAACTATGAAAGAAGTGCTGTACCATTTACTAACAGAATGAATTAGAGACTTATTTTGGGTTAGAGATAAAATGGTAGAAGCTACAAAACCTTCTCTGAAGCAAGAACTATTTCTGGGCTTCAAATACATATTTTGAAAGGAAATGGAGTATTTAATGTTTGTGAAGACCAGGGAACTGGCACTTCAGAAACTGACCTCTTCAACAGCCACAGATTAAATGAGGCATACAGCTGCACTGTAAGTTTCCTCACCACTGCCCTGGTCAATGACATCAAGTCTGACCTGCAGGTGGGATAGGGATTACCCTTCCCTTGGTTGAGAGGTGTTTCAGGCACCATGCTGTTTCTCATGACAGACTCCAGATAATACCAGATTACATTTAGGTTTCTGAGCCTGACTGAGCCTCAACCAAGATTAGCAAATCTGGTCCATTTAAGGCCTTAGGATGGATTTATACTCTGCTCCTAGAAGTGAAAGCATTCTTATCTTACTAAGCCACACAAGACTTCAGCCTCTATGCATAATGCCTTCCAGTTAACCCACATCTGAGTTCAACAGGCAAAGATATGCTAATAGTATAATGTTATTGGTATAAGATGTGTCTAGTTTTTCCTCTTGTATTAGAAGTTAGGCTACTTCCAATTAGAACTCTTCCTCATCTTGTTTTTAACCTAATTTCGCAACTCTACTTTTTCTTCATAAACTTGTCATAGAAGTAAACCTGAAAAATACTTTAGAAAAAATATTTCATATGAAAGTGACCTACTGAAATAAGTGTTCTTACAGAAGAGCATTCACCTCAAGTCTTTTGTGTATCATTCTTCAAACAACAAACAGAAAGGCTAGCATGCAGAAGCCTTTGAAACTTTAACAGAACTCTGAATGGAATTCAGGGAAATGATACAAAATTAAACACTGGCTACTTCAGACTCACCTTTTTCCCTTTCTTGATTGCTACAACTCTATATGAATAGATAATTGCTTGATTTGCTGAGATTACTGAACAGCTTGATTCAGTATTTAAGATAGCTACAACTCTGAGTAAAAGTGGCTAGAACATAGCTTTTTCTTTATACTTCATTACATATAGTTCAGGAGCAGCAGTAAAATTGTGGGAAATACCGATTTGTCTGATCATCACACTGTACAAAACTGGGATCTACTGTAGCTCAGAACAGCTTTTGATTAGCTGGATTGAGCCTCCGGCTCCCAAAATCAAGTCCCAGACAAAAATCCTTTCAAGCCCATCATTAATAGAATTCTAAAAATAAAATTAAATGGATCAAAGAAAGCTGACCATCTTAGATCACCAAGTCTGAATTTCCATTAATTTCATTATTTTCCTTTGAAAAAAATATAATAAAGTTTACCAAAAAAGACCTTATCAGCTTAGTAAAGAATTAATAGAATTCAATATTGTAAATGCTCAATATATACTCCTCTGGGGACATGTAAATTTTTAACCTCTAAACAACTGAATGCCAAGGTCATGTAATTTGATGTAAAGTGAAGATTCTGAACAACTGTTGCAGCAGCCCTCAGTTTTCAGCCTTCCCACCTTTTAACAGTAAATATTTGAACTCTGAACAGGCTAACTGTAAAACAGTTAATGAATACCCATTTTAAGAAAGAGCATCCATCTAACTCATGATCCATAATGTATTCACTCTTGTGGGGGGAAAAAAGTCTTGGGCCACGTAGACCTCAATGCATTTTCACATACTCTCCATAGGTTAAATACAGACAAGAGGAACATAGGCTTACGTAGAGAATTACAACCCAGTAAGTGTGTACAGTAAGTAGGTAGTAAGGAGAACGTGGCTGCAACCACCATAGAGAGAGATTTCACTTATCTGTAAAAGCAGCAGAGAGTCCTGTGGCACCTTATAGACTAACAGACATATTGGAGCATGAGCTTTCGTGGGAAAGTGGGTATTCATGCTCCAATACGTCTGTTAGTCTTTTAGGTGCCACAGGACTCTTTGCCGCTTTTACAGATCCAGACTAACATGGCTACCCCTCTGAAGCTTCACTTATCTGGACTGCCACTTCTCCCTATCATCTCAAGTGGCAGCTACAGTTTACTAGCATTGAACTGGGAGAACCTAATATCCTTAAAGGTGTCTGATACAGCAAAGTTTCATTTTGTGGGAAGCAGAAGAAAGAAATCAACATCTGACAAGGTGATGTACAGGGGTAACCAAAATTACTGACCCTCCGAGCCACATACAACAACCTTCAGAAGTTTGAGAGCCAGGGCGCACCTGCCAGGCTCCACGCCCTGGCAGGCATCTCCTGCAGGGCCGAAGCCTCGAGACACCCCTCCCCGCTAGGTGGAAGTGAGAGGCGACGTGTGGTGGTAGCACGTGGGGTCACATGCTCCCCACCCCAGATTTTTGCCAAGGTTTGCTGGCCCCATTCAGTCGCATGGTGCTGCCAGGCCTCCTCCCTGTGCAGCAGCTGCTGGAGCCAACAAGCTGGGAGCTGTGGCCATAGGAAGAGGCAACAGCAAACACCTGAGAGCTGCAGGTAAAGCTACTTCTTTTGCAGCTGCCTCTCCCTGCAGAGCTAAAGCAGCAGCCCCTCCCTGCAGCTCCCAGCTGTTTGCTGCTGCCTCTCCAGGCAGAGGTAACACCTGGGAGCTGCAGAGAGGGGCCACTGAGGATAAAAGGGAGGGTGTGCTTATGGGCGAGAATCAAGCTGTGTGTGTGTAGGGGGCGGGGCGACAAACCTTTAAATTGTGCCTGCCTCCTTCCTCCCCCCCCAGCAGGCACAAGCAGTCTCTGGCAGAAGCCCCGGCCCCATCACAGGGAAGAATCCCTGAGCTCCCCCCCACACACCCCAAGTCTGGTAGATGGAGAATGGAGTGGGGCTCCACAAGCCGCACTAACTGTAAAAGAGACACTTGCAGCTCACGAGCCAGTTTGGCAACCCCTCGGTATGTATAATGTTATCCACAAGTTCTCATTTATTTAACAGGTTGCGTTTTTTTTCTTCCAAAACAACATATGCCATAAACCAAAAGTTGTTTGCAGTGTTCTTGCAGCTGTGTCGGTCCCAGGATACGTGAGAGACAAGCTGGGTGAGGCTATATATTTTATTGGGCCCACTTCTGTTGGTGAAAGAGACAAGCTTTCAAGCTACATAGAGAATTCTTTGGGACCTGAAGAATCTTCACTTTACACAACACTATATTACATTGCCATTCAATTACCTCCAGGACCTGAAGAGCTCCATGTAGCTCAAAAGCTTCTCTTTCACCGACAGAAGTGGATTCAATAAGAGATATTACCTCATCCACCTTGTCTCAGAAACCAAAAGGGCAGTTATTACAATTTTGTTTCTATTACTGCATTCCTACCTTACTTATATAAAATTTGCATCAATTTAATTAAGTAAATCACGCTAGAATGAACTCCAATACAATGAGTCTGGTACCCTGCCTTTAAAGTTGAGTACATTGGTTCCTTGGGAGTTATTTTAATCTTTTATTCCTTATACTTACATGCTAGTGCAACCATTTCCTATATTCCTGGAAAGTACAGTGATAACAAATCTTCAAATCAAAAGATCACATACGAAAAGTTATTGAAGTAATTCTTAGATTTCTCCTAATTTATTTCCAATTTTCATGCCATTTTAAGGCCTCTGTAGTAACTCAAGATACTATGACAACTTGGATTTACATGTGGAAAGATGTAAGAAGGATTTACTTTCCTTGTAACCCTACCTTTCTGAAGTTATCTTGCCTGATTTTCACTCTGGGGGATCCTAGTTCTCAGTGAGAGACAGGAAAAACTCCCAGAGCATTTTAAGGTTTTCTGGTCTGCAGAGCTTAGGAGAACACACTATATACCTTCTACCAGTGCTCGCGATCCCCCGTAATTATTTGGAATCCTGGACCTGTGGATCCTCCCCTTAGGCTGTGGGGAGGTCCTTTAGCAGTTGGCCTGCTTCCACCCGCCCACTTCCTGGATCCCAACAGGCTAGTGCTCACGAATGCTCTAGCATAGCCATCTAGTGTACTGGAACTTTCCAGTCAGTTTCTGATTGGGAAACAAGAGATCGCTCAAAAATGAAGCCAATTACAAAATAAAGGTGACTGAAAAGTGAGAAACTCTAACCCTAAAAGGGTAAAAAAGGAAAACATTAGCCTACAAAAACTGACACACCTCAAATGAATATTCATTCCATAACAGTTATTGGTGCAGGATTCTAATATCAGGATATAAGTAGTTTGAGGACTTATTATTGACACTGAGAAATATTTAATAACAGAACAAAAACAGAAAATATATTGATATTGGTCTCATTCAAATACTCATTTTTGGTTGGCTTTAAGTTATAAATGACAGATAGGATTCCTCCCAAGATACCCCACCTACACAATTTAAAATC